ACCCGCAAGGATATCAAATGTCTTTGAGCACATCGTAAATGCAGTCAAGCGTTGTATTTAGGTCAATAACAAATATTTTTAGTTTAATTTTTAATATTGTAGTGCACAGTTGAAAATTTCACACTGATAATTACGCAATATGTCATTAAATCATAATATTATTATTATTGTTAATATCGTACAAATGTATCTTGCCTAGATGTGAATTTTACCCAGGCAAATTTGGAATGAATATAGTGAGTGGGATGTATCACATATATGCTCAGTAGTATCTCAGGAAACGAAATCCTTTGCCAAGGAGATTTCAAACTTCAAAGAATTTTAGTAGTAGGTGGTGGGCAGGTGATTAGTACCTTGACATTTTCGTTTTTCTTTGGTCGCTGTATAGCCTGTCCCGCAAGAACATTTATAACTTCCAGGGACATTGGCACAACGTTGGCCGCTACAGATATTATAATTGTTACACTCGTTGGCATCTGAAAGAAAAATCAGGTTGATCGCCAAGGAGACCAAGGAACAAGGAAAGAGTTAAAAGTCCAAAACCTTAAGAAAACCATTATAACTCATAGTTTACCTTTTACGCAAATATAGCATCCTCGAGCAGAGCACTCTCTTCCATACCAGTATATACTTTTACTCGGGTGTATTTCTGTGCAGTTTTTGTCTAAACGTTCGTTCATTGGCTCCTTCCTGTGCCATTTTGTGTACTGAGGCTTCACATTGAAATCATCCCGCCACACCCATTGGGACAAATTTTTGGGATTTCGACGGAGTCCTATCCAGGTTCCTTCCGTCAAGCAACGTGAGCTCGAATAACGTGAAGCGACAAAAGCGTTTTGCTCGTCCGAAGTTACTTTCACGAGATCTCCCCCAGTCTCTATACAGCGTTGCCGAGCGTTGGACCAAGTAGCAGTACTGTTGGAGAAGAAATAGCAGTAGCCCGCTAAATACGACCAACGTTTTGGACAAACGTTTCCTAAGAAGAAGAAAATGTTTATGTGGTTAACGAAAAAAATAAATGCAATGACCTTATAGTTTGAAGTACATGACTAAATATTTTTTTAAAAACTTTTTTTAGTTTGGTAAAGAATTTATAAGCAATGTGCCTTTGAAAGACTTCATTACATTGAAAATTGACCAGAGAAGGCCTACATGAGGGACGTGAATTTCAACCCTAGCTGGTCTTCTGTTTTGAACAATTTCATTTTAAGTGAGGAGCCATCAGCCATCACCAAAAAAAAATTCAACTGAATGGCAGGCTTTCTCCGAAAGATAAGCTAAAAATATTTACATTGAAAATATTTTCATTCCTCTTTGCCTGCGGGTGGTAAATAGGGAAATAATTTCCATCATGTATGTGGTTTTGTTCATGCTGTGATACGCTTACTCATCAAGATAAAGCTAAGTCAAACAATGTGGCTGATTTGACTTCAGGTCCTCTCCGCTATTTCAAATAATTGTGTGTCACTTTTTCATTCTGTTAACATGACTGATTTCCTTTTTTTTAAACTTCAGTTCACGAAGAAATTTCTGTGAAGTTAAGAGTTTTAATGGATCAGACTCAGAAATTAAAACTTTACATATTACGAGAAGATAATTATTTGTAAAGAAGGGAGGTGGTTTTGTTAAAGGTTGAAAATAGATAATTTTTCATTTGCTATTTCATTCTCACTCAGTACTTTCTCGTCTTCTATAAACACCCATCGACTTTTACAAAACTGAAAACTGAAAAAAATTGTACATCGAGGAAGCCCTACGTCATTAACAAAAAAGGAAATTTTAAGAATAGGCTCGCGCTAGGAAACAGTACTTGTTTGAAAGAATTACATTTTCAATTTGCGAAACGTGAAAGGAAATTCAATTTTTTGGCACCATTTGGTCTGCATCTGCTCTTAAGTGCACTCGTCAAATATTTCAAGAGAGGCTCTTAGATATAAGCGCCAACGCACTACAATTATTCGGAATTACGTTCTCCATATTTTTCATTATGATTTTACATCAAATGTGTGGTATAGCAGCAGAAACAGAGAACATGTCTTATATTTTAGTTTATGTTCGTCGTCTTTTGTCTCGTTTTGCTTTGTTTTTGCAGACATTTTTCAAACCCATGAATGCATATTATCGTCGTTAACTCGCAGTTAAGCCATAAATTGTAGTAAAGAAAAACACCACCCGAACAGCAGATAACGCGGAGTCGTAACGCAATCGCGGTACAGAAGAATGAATGACTTGGATATATAAAATTTTCAATACTGCGGTGAACCATGAGGCAATCTTAATTAGTTCGGTTTTCCATGATTAATTTTGACAAATTGTATGCTCGGAAATTGCAAATCTTTTAAAAAAAGAAAGGAATTGAATTTCCCAGGTGGAAATAGCTAAATACTTAATGGTGAATGTGGTTTGGGATAACCACAAGTTATCTATATGCTCAACACAGCTGCCCAAAATAAAATCTCTTTACAAATCATTCTATTTCTGCTCCTTTTAGCACCCAGTTTTACTCCCAAATTCTGGAAGAAACGCAATAGATGTAAGCTAATCAACAAATGGGAAATCGTCTCGAGTCGACCGAGTGATTCGCTGTTTTCTAAGTCTTGATTTTCGGAAACAGCATCGCCGAGATTTTCATTGAGCGCTCGCGTATTTAGATGATTAGTATAAATCGATTTTCATGTCAATAGAAAATTGAGCTCATTTCTCTTAATTCGAAGCGTTTGCTTCTGTATTTTAACACAGAAAACCCTAGGGTCTAATTAAACGTAAAACCCTTAAACCTCGCCTTTTACCCTAGGAGTATTTCAAAGGTAAAACAAAAGGGTGCCATTAACCCAACCTAAGCCTGTTCTCGCGTATTAACGATGAAGGCGAAAGAACAATTAGTAAAGCGGACTCCATAAAAGCTTAGATTGTTTTTTATGAGCAGCCCAATCAATACAGCTAATTACTAGCACAAACCACATAAACTTCCCAATAGATCCATAAAATTTACCAGAATTTCTTAATAAATTTGAAAGAGTTTTAGATCGACCGAGTCAATTTAAGTCTAAATGTTACGGTTACTTCTCTAGCGATAACATTTGGCGATGACATTCACAACCTAGTGTTTGTGTTTTCATGTTCTGCATTTAATTAAATTTCAAGAATTGAGACGGTAATTGGTTGTGTGACGTTGTCCGGTTTGATCAAAAATTTTTTTTTTTCGATAAATTCGTTTTCTCGAAAATTAACTCATACAGTAACATTTGCCGAACAAGATTGTGTGATAATTCTGCGCGATATTCATGATAATGTGTGTATCTCCAGCCACCTGTTCAAGCTTATTTGCAAACTGGTTACAAAACATATTTCGCGAATACTACCTTCTTTCTGGATTAAGTACTTCATTCTATCAAATACGTTGGGAAGAAGCATGGCAAATCCATAGTTTTACACGGAGCGTAAACCTCTAGGAAAAACCTCTTTACAAACAAGCTAAAGCTAAAATTGAATTGGTAACAATGAGAACACGCATAATCATGTAAACTACGCATGAAATCTGGGTCGATATTCTCGACTTCACGCTCTTCGGTATAGTTTCGATTGCATTACAATTATTTACAGCATTTGAATATTTATTTTTAGGGCCATCTCAGCAATATTCCTCGCAAGAGTTTTGAAGTTCGTTTTCTTTGACTAATAGCTGTACCATGGCGTAACACTGATGAACCGGCAGAGGTAACGTTCTTGTGCTTACGATCGCCTAACCCGTAAAAATTCTAGCTGTATAACCTTTAAATCGCATCCGAAATCTCCAATACTCATACTGAATCCTTTATACATACCTTGAACCCTGCAAAAGGCGTAGAAAACAACGGCAGAAGCGAAAAAGATGCGAAATCCGTGAGCCGTACAGCGCGACATGACAGCGCCATTCGTGTTTTCCACTGGTACGACGGCTTACGTTGCGTGGGGAAACAAAAGCTCAGTGGGTCGTCGAATAAAATGGCAACAAATTCCAATTTGTTTCCTAAATACAAAACTATTTAAATACTTGACACGAGCGCACTGCTTTGCAAACTTAATACTAATACAATAAACACTACGAACAATAACGTTTTATCGATTGCGATTGTAACTGTACACGTATAATTCTCCGGGTTTGGATTCCAATTATTGAATGAGTTTACCATACAAAACATGATATATCTGCATAACGTATGACATAGTTGCATGATAAGTCAACCACCTATCTCGTTTTCCTCAAACAGCCATTGCGAGATTGTTTTAATCGAGGGACAGTTTCTTTGCTCAAAGAACTTTAAAAACAGAAACACAAATTTCATTCCATAATTTGCAGTGATTAGATATTTTAAAAGTTAAGAGAATAGCCAATCTGAAAGTCTTGATTTTTTGCCATCTGCTCCTCAGCTCCTATCGAAAAGTTTAATTTAAAAACGACTGGACGCTGTCATATTCTTAAGTACCTGGTGAGTGCATTTCAGATCCTCGAAGCTGCAAATGAAGTTCGCTGTTATCTCAGCTACTATACAGAATTCATTTTTTACTTGTTGCAATAACAGTGAAAATTTATCGATATTTGTCACACGATTGGCGAATCTGATTGGCTCCCTTAGGGTTGACAGTCAAAGTTATTGAAGACACGGGCATTCTTATAAGTGTTTTACACATAGGGGGAAAAACCGTTTACTGAACTAAAGAATACCCTCCGTCTTACGACTGGCCAATCGAGATGACTATTCGACGACAAAATGCAAATTTACTGATAAATTCAAGCTTTCTCAGAAACCGCTCCAAGTGATCAATTTAAACCAGCCGCTGGTAAAGGTCAGTTAAGGCTTTTCGGAAGACGGAAAGAGCTGGTAAAAGATAAACTTTAATTTGTTTCGATTTCCGAATCGAAATCAGGGCCAATGTTTTGAAAAGGAGATGTTACTTTTAATATATGGCAAAAGCAAAAAAAACATAGATAAACTACGTTAAATGTTTTTGTGAAATAATTACAAAACTAAAAAAAACAGATTGAGGTAATCAAAAACTTCATGATTCACACCCTTACCAAGGACGTGCGTTAAGTCAAAACCAGATTCATAGTTCGCCATTTTATGGAGTTTTCATTTCGGTCTTTTTGCATCTGAGGCCTTCATTACCTAAAATACATAGGAGACTTCCCTCCGACAATTCGTAGCATTAATTTATTTCTTCGAAAGAAACGTAGACTGAATGTTAAGCTTATTCTTTTTTACTATATGATAATGTCTATTCCGCTCCGAAGCGGTTCACAACATTGTATTGAAATAATGTGTTGTATGTTGTACTGAAATTTTAAAGCTTAAAAAAATAACTATGAAGGATTTTTCGTTGTTACCCAGCCAGCTTGGTGCCTTTAATAA